GATTTCTAAATATGTGACACATGCACATTTACCTGCCAAAATGACATTGTGTGTAGACATGGGCCAGTATATAATTCTGATTCTGATGGTATGATAACCTTGGATAAAAATATCACAGTTTCACATCATTATGATTACTGCTGTAAAATATACTCTTTTTAAATGTCTGGGTAAAAAACAAAAACTTTTTTTTCATTTGAGCACAATATATTTTATTTAAGATATTTTGGAGCAGTAAACATGTCAGGCTAAATAATTCAAATCAATCATTGACTTTTGCGCTCTTCATTTGTTTTAAAAACATTTGTTTCAAAAACACTGAGTTAATGTTGTCCTAAAAAAAAAAAAACATGCTTAATTGTGTGCACCCAAAAAGTACACTTTTATCGACACTGTGATGATGTCTCAATTGCCATGAGCACCTAATGCACTTGTGGACACGACAAGCATCTTTGGCCAATCAACATTTGTGTGACAATCACCAGCGATCCAGCCTGTGCAGATCACTGTTAAACATACAGTACTGCATAGAACTACAAATCCGCCATTAAATGGACTACAAGATCTAGTCATGCACCACACACATTCACAACCGGTTCCTGATCATGACTGATTGCATACACACGGCTGAAGGATTGTTACGAACTAATTACATGGACTTTAAATACAGCTCACTTAGACTGAGTCTGTCTAAGTTAACATTACGACACGTTTTCCTCGCCTTTTCCTGCCATGTACCGAGAATTGTTTGTTTGTTTTTGGTTGCCTGCTGCCTGCCTGTATAGACCATTCCCCTGTTATTCAACCAGGACTCTGGATTCCCTGTGTACAACTGTTTGCCCCTGATTGTGATCATTGCCAGTCTGACCATTCTCTGTTTAATAAACCTGTATTTGAATCCACACTCCTTGTTGTCAGCATCTCCCCATGTGACAATTTGTTTGCAGCAAATTGCTTTTTTCATGTTTTTATAGTGAAGATAATATAATAGCTATGATGATGATATATAGTTTAGCATTTTTAGATAATGTAGCTGGATGGTTGTTTTTATCCTACATAATAAAAACATATTGGCCTCAGGACATAAACCACTTGGTAACAAAAATATAAAGATACACTTGATACCTCACTAATTACTCTGAGCATCTAGCACATCTTTTAAATCTTAGCACTGGAATTTGTACAATGGTTTCAAACTAATGGCGCTTTAATTAAAATTTGAAAAAAAAAAACAGAAATGTGTAGCTCAACATATGGCGTCAAAAATCTACCTGCTTTCATCCTGCTATAACTGTGCTCCGTTCCAAACAAACACATGAAAGCGCCTGCTTTGACGTCCACATTGAGTGAGAAAATGGAGCGTGAGAGCCATCATTAATAACATGACCCACGTGATGACACAGCATGCCTCTCATCCAACTGAGAGACACATGGCAAAGCCAGCCATTTGAGACCTCCATTAATTCACAACAGCATAGTGTACAGCAGTTACTTCCATAAAGCAGTTTCATACATCGCACCATGTTTCCTGCTAATGACAAAACACAGAGAGCAGCATTAGAGAGAAACTTGGCAAAAGGTCAAAACTACAGTGGCCACACAACTGCCACATGTTTCTAAATCTTGTCTGTCCTTCTGTTAAACAACTGAGAAACAATCAAGGTTACCAATACATTAAACACGGCAATCCGAAGGGCCTTCAGTTGTGCGTGAACCGAGGTGAGTTTCTTCTTCCGAAAAGGATGCGCTTTGAGGATGTTATCACTTTTCCGGTCCATTACCAAATATAATGGATGTGGCCCACTGCCATCTTGATTTTCCCTCAACACCAAAACAAATTAATCCCACTAATGACTGCTTCAAAAAGAAAAGAGCACCAAAATCAGATAGAAGGAAGCCGCATTCGCCATTCATCAAAGTTGGAAATCTGACAAAAACGAATAGCTCAAACACAATCTAACCCAATCATCCTGATCACTTGGTTTTGATTTTCCCCTTCCCATGGACACATTTATGCAATGAATTAGGACCCCGCGCAAAAGCAGACACATTTATTTGTTATAAAGATAAAGAGAGCCTTTAGTACACTGTGTCCTTCAGCTGTTTTGAACCACTAAAATCTTTCTTTTAGGGACATTAAACACAGTTCCTCAAAATGCATTCATTACTCACTGATTAAAGAGGTGGCTCACAAAAAAATTCAACTTCCATCACCACACAGACTTAATTACCTCTTTTGTAGTTTGTTTTTAGCTATTGATGACAAATTCACAACACTGTATTGGTGGAAAAAGTTCAGCTTACACTTATTTACTTACAACATATATAAATTAATTAACATAAAATAATCAATACAAATCAATCATAAAGCTTTTCAAAATTGTTCATGTCTTCATCAAATGTTTTAGCAGCACTGCTTCTGATTTTTCCACACAATGTTTTCCAATATAAAATTAAGGGGTCACGCATGAAGTGCTAAAGCCCTATTGTATTTGTTAAAATTTTTTATTACTATTATTTTTCTTTAGCTTTAATCTGGAAGAGGAAGACCAAACCGTATATCTACAAATATCTACATGTGACAAAATATGTATAAGCATGACTAATGACTATTATTGATGATAAGGTGTTTTGTGTCTGTAAAGTTTCAGCTCAAAACTTCCCATCAGATTATTTATTATATCTTTCAGAACATAGGAATTGTCTGCTCTGAACACCATGTAGATGCTTTTTGTCCCCTTGTGCCTTTAATGCTAGTTCTCCCAACTCACAGTTCAAACATGCCTGTCAGAGTGTGCCTCAATCTCCACCTCGGCTGCATCAGATAAAACAGCACATTGACAAGGAAGCAGATCTCACGTACCGTTTGTGAGAAATACTACAATAAGAACTTCCCAATGATTATTTGATGTATTTGTAGTGGAGTTGCAATGATGAGTCACACACAATGTCGTTAAAAAGTTCAAGCACACACAGACACACACATATAAACACAACACACACGTTTAACTTTGCACTGGTTTTTCATGGCGAATGTGACAGGATACACGTTAATGTCCACTGTTGTATGAATATCGGTTATGTTAATGTACAAAATAAACCAGATTTAACGTTCACAAACCGGGATTGAAGCATTTTCTTTTATAATTGTACTGACATGCGGCTGTGGTGATAAAGACGGTAAAATGACTGTAATTAATTACAAACATGCAATGTTTTAAAAACATTTTAAACTTGTAAAACTCATTCTTGATCACATTTGATGATGATTGATGATCACAGAGAGCTGAACAGATCTTTTAATCCCAGCTGCTTTGCACATATCCTGTCTTGGTATGATTTTACACGTTACTATGGAGACATGTTAATATGTGGTTGTCAATCAATTAGGTGGGCGGGAAAACGACACTCCTACGTCTTGTTGCGGACAGAAATTAGGATTTGGATCCTATTTTAATGTCAGGAAATTACAAAAAAAAAGAGAATTACTGTGTTTCCATCACTCCAATATGACTGCGGACACATTAAACCTACACACAGTTTTGTCCAAACAGCTTCCCAAAGATGATTTTCATCATAAGTGCTCTTTAAATCTTTGGTCTGTGTGTCAACATTATGTCCACTGTGGATGAGTTTTAGTGTCAGCCATACATTTTGGCTCGTCAAAGACCTAATCGGCGTTAGTGTCAAAAGTCCTTAAATGCTTGAACCCTACATTATATCGCTTCATTATATGGCTTCAATTTTTAATGCCATTATAAGCCATTAACCAAATCAAATCAGCAACAAGGTGATATAAAGCTTCAATTTAAAGCAAAGGATACTGAAATATGAATATAGGAAAATTTTTGAACGGATAAAATCACAACAAACAAGACTGTGTACTTGCTGGCTTTGAATAAGAGAAAGAACTACAAAAGACATTAATTTTAGAAATGACTTGTATAAACAATGCCTCCTTTAGTACATACACCAAAATGTGCATTTACTGGATTTAACTGATATGGGTTTGAGTAAAATGTGGGTAAGACAATAAGGTTGTATGAGTTAATGCATTTACTAGCATGAACAAACAATGAATAATACATCCATTACAGTATTTGTTCATGTTATTTAACGTTACTTAATGAAAATACAGTTGTCCATTGTTAGTTCATGTTAACCCACAGTGCATTAACTGATGTTAACAAGCATGACTTTGGATGTTAATAGTGGGTTAGTAAAGGTTGAACTATGATTAATAAACACTGTAGAAGAATTGTTTATAATTAGTTCATGTTAGTAAATACATTAACTAATGAAACCTTATTGTAATACGTGACAAATATTGGTACTAATCTATAAAGATTCCAAAAAAAAAAAATGTAATTTAGAGCATTTTGTTTGGATTTACTAATTAATTGTAAATCCAGAGAATTTCTAAGTGGTCTCTCTGTTTTCCAAAGAATCATTTTTGTTGTTTTATGTGAATGAAATAAGCTTTGGTTCTCTTTCTTCTACAAATTTATCTGCAATTGATTACCAACTTGTGAACAACAATGTACAACACATCTGTCCTCAAAGGTTTATCAGTTACAGTTACTAATTGGTTTCCCACTGGACAAAAAGTACTAAATTTTAAATCCGGAATTAGGGCAGGTGAATAAATTAGGACAGAATGTAGATTTTTGTTAGTATAATCACGTTAAGCAATAAGCTTTGTCAGCAATACCTGATTTCCAAACAGATTGAATCCATTGATGGCTTCCAGAGCTGCTTTGGCGAGTCCCACCGAGCTAGAAGAGAACAGATCAGATCACAACAGAGCCCCATCTTATTAGGACAAATGAATATTGAAGTAGATACTTTTTTTGCAAACAGAGAACCAAACTCTCATTAAACCCAGTTCTGTTCCTTTTCAGGTGCTGGTATCTAAAGCTGTTTTATCCATGAAAGACTCCTTTGAGGTTAAACAAAGCTAATAATTTCTGTCATTTTTGCTTCTTCAGCCACTCACTCTTGTGAAGCATACGATTAGAGCACACGATTAGAGCTAGGTGTGCTGAGCAATAAAAAAAAAAAAGTATCCAATTGCTCTCGGCGAAGAAAATCAATAGCGAAAATGCAGAAAACGAGCAAACTGAAAGGCATTGGGAGTAATTCTAAATTGAAAAGAACACGGTAGAATCCAGGTCTGCCTCGTGCGTCCCAACCAAACCATCAGCTGTGATCACAATCAAACTACATAAGGCTAAGGCACTATTGATTTTATGCCTAGACAGAAGGGAGACCCAGATATATTGGTAAATTCTGACAATGATGCAGAAAGACTATGTTATACTTACACTCAAGCTTGACCCAAATCTTAGCTAGACAAGGTATAAAAAGAGACACGAATAACATGTTTGTTCAAAGTTTTTATTAATGCTGAAAAGTGGGTTCTGTATTGGTGATTAAGTGAAATATTTTTATTCTCCTTCTAATTAAACTGAACGTTTGCGACAGAATTGCAACAGAAAGTTTTAATCAGCCCTCTAGAGTAGTCCTGAATTACAGCCCTCAGGAGTTTTGTGACTATTCGCAACATCTTTTTTTTTTTTTTTTGGAATCTAAGAATGTTGCCTCTAAAAACACTAAAGCGACATCTAATTGCAATCTTTATTACACTTATATAAAAATGATCACATATCTCATTCTGAACTTCTTCCATAGCAATGCAGCAACTGTTTATTCTGTACACAGGATAATCTTGTTTGCAGAAAACCATAAATTACTTATGAGAAACATATTTGTACTTGCTTCAACTTGTTAAAATGAATAATTTTATTTATGATATTCTGAGAGAACAAGCTTTTTTTTTGAAGTAGCCAAGCTAAGCCAGTATAGACTATAACACTTACTATAAATAAGATAATAACATTATTATCTTATAAAGATAATAATGGCTCAATGATTTTAACAATGTGGCAAATTTAAGTCATCTGATAAATGTAAAGGTTTTCATTAAGGGACAAAAATTTGTCTTAGGTGCATAAAATTACTATACAGCACAATACTAAGTCTTGTGAATAAGACTCATTTACATAGATTTAAAGCTGCATTCACTTCTCAAAATTAGAATAGAGATCTGTATCAAAAAACTATCACTGAAAACTATTACTGCCATTTATTAATCGCCAATTTACTCATGTGATGGCAAGGCTACATTTTTAGCAGCTATTACTGCAATCTTTAGTAGAGCATGATCAGTTATAATGTTATATCGGTTATGTAATAAATTTAGTTGTTTACCTACATAGAGGTTTACCTGCATAGCACTTCGCAAACTGGCCTCCGTTACACTCATCCCACTAAACCTCACTCCTATCCCAGATGAGGCCCCATGTGTAACCCACTGGTCCTACTGCACCCAACCTGGTCTGAGCTGGGATTGTATAGTCAATTCTTTGTATGGGAGTCAGTTTCTTCAACAAGGAGGTTAAAGACCATGGCTTACAGTATAGTGTCTGTCGCTAGAGCACCTTTAGAGGTCAGAGGAGTGAGGTTGACCTGCATAGTACTTCGCTAACAAGCCTCCATTGCAGTAGTATTTATACTGTATGCCCTTCTTATGTTTCCCTTATTCTTCTAAACATAAAAGAAGATATTTTCTAGAAAGCTGAACAACTGTAACCACTGACTTTTTATAGTAGTAAAACAAATACTACATTGTTTTCCGCTGCATGGCGGGGTGCCAAACCAAAATTCACAGCTACATTACAGCTTCTCATTCACAACATTCAGTCATTGTTGTTTTTTTAATAGCGGGTAATAATCACACCAAAACGCATTAAAAGGTAAGTGAATTATAACAGCACAACTGTAACCGTAATAGTGCTGTGCGTTATTTGTTTAACCCTTAAGATGACGACTTAGCTATCAGTTAAGACAAACACAGTTTCCATAATTATACTTTATTTACAGATAAAGGTCTGTGGTTCTGCATACAATGACTTTATCTTGCTGGAGTTTATTGCCCTTTTACTTTACTTCAGGATGCATTAATGCCGGTCAGTAGGTCTCTTGGAGAGATTCATAATTATTCCTAGCAATATAAATCTTATAAATGCTGGAGACATACTCACTACATAAACGCGCTAAAACTCGATTCAGCAGAGTTTATTTGAGAGCGCACAAGAAAATCTGCACTTGAGCAGCGTATATTTGAGAGAGTGCAAAAGTTTTGTGCACGAGCAGAGGAAACTGGTAGACAAGCAAAGAGATTTGCATGCTCGTATTGCATAAATGCGATCTCAAATTGTAATACTGCGCTCATGACATTTTTTCATTTGTCATTAAAATAACGCCATAGGTAGTTGGTAGATTTGTGTAAAAGACCTGCTGCCACAGCTGGAAAAATTCCTAGCATAAACACTGTACTATATGGGATTCAATAGGGGTTTCCAGCTTTTGTTAAAATATCTTATTTTGTTTTCAACAGAAGAATGAAACTCAAACAGGTTTGAGTGAGGAGGATGAGTAAATGTTGAGAGAAATTCCAGTTTTGGGTGAAGTATACCTGCTGTATTATCAATGTTAGAAATATTTGTGCTACTTAATGCTTTTGCAGAATCAGTGATACTTTTTAGGATACTCTGAATATAATGTTTAGAAATGAACATTTATTAGAAATAGAAACTTTTGTAACATTATTAATGTTTTTACCATTTACACTTCCAGTTTTATAATTACAGCACAAACGTTAAAGCTACATACTTTCTGAAAAAGTGAACAAAGTGATTAAAATGAAATAGAAATATATATTTTTACACCAATATATATTATTACACCAATTATACCAGCTCTCCCCTGCTTGACCGACAACTGAGTGGTGAATCATAAACTGATCATTATAAAATATTTCCATACCTGCTTAAAATGCTAAACTAGATTCTTCATTCAGTTAAAAGTGCAAAGAGCAGAAGTCAATACTCTAATTGGCTCAGTGGGGATGCTGTGACTTCAAGATAAGGAACCCGTGATTGAGAGAATCATTATTGAGGCTGGTTATGAAAGAGAGGCAGAGTAATGTGCTGGAGTCACTGCCTATCGACTTGCTCTTCTAAAAAAGCATATTGTCTGGGCAAAGCCACAGTCCACGCTGTCTGCAGAGCGCTGAGAATCACTTCTGCATTGGGCAGATAGCAGCTTCTCTATGTGAGTCCTCTCAGTTAGAGTTTATTCACTCATGGACTCAACCAGAGGAGGTGAAATAAAGTGCCACCCTTTCTGGAGGGTCCTCAAAACACGCTCCAATCTATAACATCCTCAACATGAGCTGAAACATTCTCACATTGTTCCAGGGGCTCAGATGCATTAATGCGAGTGGCAAGCAAACATTTGCTTTACTCCATACTGAGCAAAAGAAGTACTTTGAGAATAAATACAGGTTTAGAAAAGAAACTAATGTTCTGTGCCATTTTAAGTTTTGATTAAAATTAAATTACACAGCTAAATTTTAAAATTAAATACTTTGCCCAAGACAATCAGCATTTAACATGAATATGGATGAGCTGATATAAAAATTTTATACAACAGTTCTGTCAGGCTCTCAAGTCTAATTGGCTGATAGCCATCTGTTATTAATAACAGAATGAATAAACTCACTACAGTTTGACAAATATTGCAACTGTGGGACAATTTTTTTTTTTTAAATGAGAATGTAGTTGTTTAGATTGCAACTATACAGTTTATTTATGAGGATAGTGCCTATTTTAAATCTTTATAATTTCGTAGATACAGCACCTCGGCATCCATCAGCCTGTCATACTGAGCAGAGCAAAGACGGTTGATGTTAAGCCACAAGATGGCAACAAAGACCGCATAGTATGCCCTTAGAGAAGAATTATATTATAATATATTTATATTATCATTACAAATCAGGTAAGTGACATTCTAAGCCGATTTCTCTTTTGTAGGTTATAGTTATGTATTTATACCATAGTAATCTGGTAGTGTTTGCTTTTCTTTGGCTTTTTCGGGGTTAAATATTGTGATCTCCCAATTCCAACAGAGAAAAACTATGACATTTCAGCAAACTGATGGCATTTCATGCCGTTCAGCCTTATAATCTTAAAAGGTGAGCAAAATCACCTGCTTTGTCATCACCTTAGACATTACGCTGAGAATCATTCAAATACTAGCTCTAAGTGACTTTGCCAACAACGGTTTCTGCTGTTTTGAAATAATTTTTGAGACTCTCCATGTGATTTTCTTTTTTAATACATGATAATGCCGTCTAACTGTTGTACGAACACAATTTCTGTATAACGGCTGTATAAAGTCACTGTGCCGATATACACACACACACACAGACATATATATATATATATATATATATATATATATATATATATACACACACACACACACACACACACACACACACACACACACACACACACACACACACACACACACACACACAGGCAAATTATCCAACCACATGGAAAGAGCAGCTGATATTATAAAATCTTATTTAAAAATCTATATTATTTTTTCAAAACAAATTACAAACACTAAAAATTAAAGACAACACAAACTAATTATTTTAAATGCTACAAGTAAATGTAGAAATAAATTATAATGTGCAGTTTGAAAAATGGATATTTATCACACATCACTGAAAATTATTAGTGTTTTTACAGATTATTATACTGGAAAAATGATCAAAAGTCACATATACAGTTGAAGAATTATTAGCCCCCCTTTGAATTTTTTCTAACTTTGAAATATTTCCCAAATGATGTTTACAGAGCATGGACATTTTCACAGTATGTCTGATATTATATTTTCGTGTAGAGAAAGTCTTATTTGTTTTATTTCAACTAGAATAAAAGCAGGTTTTATTTAAAAAAAAAAAACATTTTAAAATTATCAGCCCTTTAAGCTATATTTGTTTGATGGTCTACAGAACAAAAATAAGCAGGGGGCCTATTAAATCAGGATGCTAATAATTGTGACTTCAACTGTTTATGCACAAATAATTAACATTCTGGTTAATATCAACAAGTTACATCTATAAAAAACAAATTAAACTCATTAACTGCTATTATATATGATCAGTAAGACACATTAAAATAACTATACCATCATCTAGACATATTGTTTTTATCTCCAAAACTTGTCATGTATCAGGATAATTTAATGACAAAGCTATAGAAGGGAAAAGAAAAGAAGTGACAAAACTCACCTTGAATGGAGTTCTGTGCTTCCATTGTTATATTTGCTTCCTCGTTCCCACATGCCAAAGTCTGGCACACGGTACGCCCTCTCCACACAGAAGACTAGATTCTGAATAAATGATACCTACAAGTGCAAACATGTCAGAGAAACCCATCACCCCCAGCTCTCAATCTAGACATTAGCAAACAACATGTGAAGGTTTACATTTTTTTATTAGCCAATGCATCAGGATTCCTTTTTGTCACCCATTTAATATTCTGATTATACATGAATTGAATTTGAATAATGATTTAACATACAGAGCAGCTAAAGTGATCCATCACTACTATGGGTGGCACTGGTAATGTCATAAGCCCCCCGATACTTCCACCACCAATGTGGTATGAAGCCATAGGAAAAATAAGATGGGAGAAAGAATGATGACTTTACGGTACATAAATGAGGAAATGTTCAAACACCCGGGGAGGCTGGGTTGACAGCGCTTTTAATTTAACATGAAGAGAACTGAGGGCCCCTAAAGCACGCTAAAATGGGGCATCGAGGAAGGTAGGCGAAAGACAAAATGCAGAGGGGAAAAAAGAGGAGAGAGAGATGGCTTGAGCATTTTTATTTTTGGGCCTGGACTAAGATGATTAATGTGACAAGCTTTATGGTATCTTAATGAATACCGCTGGCCCGGGGTGGCACTATTTTCTCTCTTCTTCCTTCTCTCGGCTGCAGGGAGCAAGTGCAGAGCAGGAGTGTAACTTTTATGAGCATAAAGATGAGTCTGTTGTTTGAGTTTGCTGGATAACATGTTTTAGTTAATCATTGTACTGTTTGCTCTGCATGTCAGTGACAGTCTTTCTTACAATAGACATTTATTCTTTCTTATATTTATTAATCAATTGGAAGCCAAATATTCCTTCTAAGTTTTGTAATAGGTTAAAGTTTTAAATGAGCTTCAAAGAGAATAGGGCACACAAACAGTTCTTAATCTCTGTTAGATATGATTAGAAATTTAAACGAATGATTGTAATTGTTGTCATATGTTTCTGCAGAACAGCAGCAAATATAACCCACAGTCCAAAGACATGCGGTACAGGTGAATTGGGTAGGATAAATTGTCCGTAGAGTATAAGTGTGAATGAGTGTGTATGGATGTTTCCTAGAGATGGGTTGCAGCTGGAAGGGCATCCGCTGCGTAAAACATATTCTGGATAAGTGGGCGGTTCATTCCGCTGTGGCGACCTCGGATTAATAAAGAGACTAAAAGCCGTAAAGCAAATGAATAAAAAAAAAAAAAAAAAAAAATATATATATATATATATATATATATATATATATATATATATATATATATTTTTTTTTTTTTTTTTAAATTTTTTTTTTTACCAAAATGTAGTTAAAAAAATTTGTAAATTCTAAATAACAATTGACGTCTAATTCAACCTGCTGACAATTCTGGTGCATATACTAAACAGAGACAAAAACGAAAGAAGACTAAAAGCAAAAACAACTATAACTGGAAAAAAAAAACTAACAAAAATAAAACCAAAACCAACCTGAAAACAAAAACTGAACAGAGTAAAAAACAAAAACAGAGAAAACAAACAATACCAAGCCAAGCAATGCAAAACCAAACAAACTCAACAAACAAAGCAATAAACAAAACAATAGCTAAAACCAACATAAAAAACAACCAACAAATATAAATTAAAACCAAAGCCAAAACCAAATTGTAAATAAAAATATACTCCTTTGCAAACATTAAATAAACAGATAATTTTCTCACCAAAACATAATCTGTAAACTTCCTGGCTGCAAAACCATCAAGAAAAACAAAAAAAAAAACATAACAAAACCAAACTGAAAAAAAAAACACAAGCAAAAACAAAACAAACAAAATAAACAGAATCATGAACAAAAACAAAACAAACCAGAGAGAAAAAAACAACAAAAACAGAGCAAACAATACCAAGCAAAGCCAAGCCAAACAAAAATCAACAAAGAAAATCTAAACAACAACCAAAACAACAAACAAAATGAAAAACAATATAAAAAGAAACAAACACACAAATATAAATTAAAACCAAAGCCTAACAAAAACAAGTTAAATCTTAAATAAACATTAACTATTCACTGAAATCTCATTTGCAGACAGTTTGGCTGGATGACCAACAAGCATGTAGATAATACATATGAACCGCTATTCTATTATTCTATTACAGCATTCATCAAAATGGACGATCCTTAATTCAAGGATATAAAAGTGGTCGGGTATACCAAAAAACTTAACCACAACCTTTTACTTCTAAATCCAAAGCAAACTACTTAGCCAAACCACAAGCAGGGCAGCCAGATAATTATATAACAAAAAATAAATAAATAAATGCTCTGCCAACGATGGGCTGGAAAAATATTAAACTGGCAATTTCTCCCTGATTTGTTCTGCTGTTCATTAATAATACAATGTAATGGGCTGCTGATTTCATGACTGTGTTTTTTTAATTGCATTACACACCCGAGTAGGCACTGTTTAGAGACGTCAATTAGGCCTCTTTTGCAAACAGCAAAATAAAAGCTATACTGTGACAATTTGCTAAAGCTTGGGTGGGAGGCTCAGCTAAAAAGTTGACACCGCCTGTCATGTACACCAAAGAGCTGTACAGAAAACAAAACATTTAAGTAAAAGAACATTCTTGAAGATATACAGCACATAATGGGGGATGCATAAATAGAAGTTGAAGTTATTCAACAGGCAGTGGTGCACCAGTTGAGTGTTAAGTAAATGCCTCTATGCGAAGACAGCAGGAATAAAAGATGCTATTAAGGAAGTCTGCACAGCCCAAAGAAAAGAGAGAGATTACACAACTATTATAGCAGCAGCTCACATATCTCAGTTTCTCCTCTGCTGTGTGAATCCAGGGGTCAGAGGTGAACGCTGCTTGGATTTGAAGAGGCCCTTTAAAAGACAGTTTCTTATTTCTTGCCAAAGTATTTTCCAAACAGAGTGCTTGAACAGTTGCATAAATGATCTCACGACTTTTTGCCCTAAACCATTTCAACTCAGCTTAACTTTTTTTCTGCGGAAATATTTTTTTACAGCTTAATTGCTCAGTATAGTCATGGCCTGAAAGTCTTCAGAGCAAGTCCTCAGGCACACGGAGAGACACCCAGTGGCTACAGACATGATTTTGGGTGGAAAACATTTCATAATCTATCCAACTGCAATCATCAGGGCAGAACCTAACAGTCCCATTGAGATTTAAAACTCTTCAATCCAATAATTCCAATGTCCTGTACATAACGTACTGTACTGTAAATAGTCCATGAAAGTACAGTGCCAATAAGTTGTGTAATGTTAATACTATAAGATAATACCTTTGTAACAATCTAGATATGTAGATATTCTGAGAGTTTTTTTTTTTTTTGTACACATTCACATTGGTAAAGTTTTGGTTTTGCCTACAAAATGTGTGCATTGCCTATGGAGTAAAAGGAAAAAGTTGAAACCACTAGTCTATACTCCACCTTGCTTTAAAAAAGTTTTTTTTTGTTGTTTTTTTTGCTCTGAATGGTAAATCTGTTAAAATCCTGTTAAAGGGAAATCAATTGTACTTATGCAAATCTCCACAATATGTCAAATAACAATGAAAATTAATACTTTAAGGGATATTTATATGTAAAGCAGCATAATTGCAATATTATGTATTGTTAAAAGAGCTTTTTATAATTAAATGAACTGAACTGATATGAAGAGATGCTGGTAGTTCTGGAAGTCAAATCATACCTCATCTGTGTTGTAGATTATTTGAAGGCCAGAGCAAATCATTTCAACCAGGTACAAGAGAAACAGAGACAATGCATCGATCTGTAGGAAAAGGAAAAAAAAGAAGGGTTTCATAACAATATTACTTTGTTTGCCTTATTTTAAAATGTAAAAACAGATGCTGCCATTTGGAATTTAAATGTATGAGGCTTCTGAACCCATCCACTTTTAATTATTTAAAGGAATAGTTCACTTAAAACTGAAAATTCTGTCATTATCCTTTACTTGTTCCAAACCTGTTTAAATTCCTATTGAAGAACACCAGAAACCACTGACTTCCATAGGTATGACTTTTTTTCTGCAATGGAAGTCAATGGTGATCAGTTTGTTTGTTTGTTTGTCTAGCTTTCTTCAAATTATCTTATTTTGTGTACAGAAAAAAAAACAGAATAAAAAACTATAAATAATAAATATAGAGAAAATCAGTGAAGAAATGGTCAGTAAATTTAGATTTTTGGGTATATTGTCCCTGTGAAAACAGTCCAATGTAATCCTTAATACTGTAGACAGATATTTCTTTATTTGGTCCCACTTTATATTAAGTGTCCTTAACTACTATGTAGTTGCATCAAAAAAATAAATACAATGTATATTTTAACAATGAATCAGAAATCAGATTATAGTGTAGATAGAATGAATAACTTAATCAGAAAAACGTAAAACAAGGTTTACAGGCCATTGACCGCTGGTGCAGTCTGCAAATATGAAAGAGGCTACACGAGCAGGGATTACGAATGAGGTGATATAATCCATAAGATATGAGTAGAACAAAAAGTTTTCCAATACATACAGTGAGTGAGACATGCTACGCATATCCCATGTCTGAGGCAAACAACTACTGGGAGTTATAAAATGTGTAAATAGAAGGTGGGAAGCACCTGTAGATGGTTGTACTCCTTATACGGGTAAACCTCATCTCCAGTGTCCACGTTAAAAATTGAATGCAGGCACGTGGATGGACTCGGGTCTTGCTTAAAATTCTCCACCTGTGAAAACATCAGAAAGAACAACAATAAATAAATAAATAAATAAATAAATAAATAAATAAAAAACAGAGGAAAAGCTGAAAAGTTCTTGAAAGATGCAAGATATGACTAAGGTATCGACTGTTATATTATTTATAAAATGTTTACTAAGATAAGTGAGTGAGGAGGGTGGTAGTGGGGGGATTGTATCAATGTTTCTTGAGGTCATGGTTCAATTGTGCCCCTGAATGCCCTTTTATTACATATAAAGTCATGTCATGTAATACTGAATTAAATCAGCAAATGCGCATCAGATTTTAAAGCAGCGAATTACAATTAAGGCGATGTGTGTGTTTGGGAGCAAAGCTGAATGCGTCAATCTCTCCACAAGAAAGATGCAGTGCTCCCAGATGTCTGCTTGTCTTGAAATGGATGAAGCCGGAGCACAGCTCTGCTCATTTAGAAGCATCTACATTTATTTCTCAAGCTTGTTCTTTCTTTTACAGCTTTACTGAACAAAAATACATGCTTTGTCTTTACTGATGCTTCAACAAAGAGAGAAAAAAAATCTGGTGTATTGTATGCACACAAGCAGATTTTATAGGTGTGTGGGGAAAGCTTAGGACAGTGCTAGTAAAGTAGCAAATGTCAGTTATAATATTTCAGAAAGAACTGTTGCATTTTGTGGATACTTGTGGACTCTATGTCAACTGATGTCATACTGGTTTGGATATGTACAGTTAGAGAAATTTTGTATATTCCATGTAACATGTTGTGCAAATGATAGTACTTCCCACAACATGTATGTATGAATGAATGCATTTAGCTAGAAAAACATCTGCTTTTACCAACTGATAACACAACTTCTGTTGTCGCTTTTTCTGAAAATTATATCAACCATTTATTCACTATTGTTCTACATATGTTTGGCTTTGTTTCTTCCACAACACAATAAAAATATATCTTGCATAAAGCTGAATTCCTGTAACCATTTACTTCCATGGTCATTGTTTTTCCTACTTTACTTCCTTAATAGTTAACTTTTTTTAGGATACTTCAAAATATGTTAATTTGTGTTCGACAAACTCAACAGTTTATGACCATATGAAATACTGTGAGCAAATATTCCTTGTTGGGCGAACTATCCCTTTAAACTAAAGAAAAAAAGCCATTTGTTTCCACATTTACTCTATAATGAAGTCGTCTAGTTAAGGTCATTGAATTATTCTCTAATCAGGCAGAAAACAATGTGCAGTTCATGGTTGCATGCAGTGAAAGTCTATGTGAAATTTAAGCAAGTCTAGAGCAAAATACATATTTAAAAAGTAGTAAAAATAAAAATAGTATATTCACATTTTTATAATTAAAATTAAAGCAATTATAAATGCTTAAAGACAATCTTTAAAAGCAATGTAAATTTCTGATGTGTTCAAATAAAACATCTTAAAATTTTTTATTTTTTCTATTACCATACAATTATTTTGATACCTATTTTGAGGTTAAGAATGGTTAGGAAACGTTAGCAATCAAAAAGCATAACTAATTTAAATTAAGACAAAAAAAAAAACACATGTACCAGTATTACATGTATAGTCTTTTGGGTGGTTTAATATACACATGGACTACTAGTACATGTGGCAATCTAATTAGTATTAATAATTTATCACTGGCTTGAGTCTTCTAATTTCATTCACTGCCATTATTATTTAGCCATAAAAACAACTTGTTATGCTGTTTGATGTTGCAAAATTATATATTCTTATTATATTATTATTACTTTTTTGACTGTTTACCGCCATTTATTATTTCTGGTCATTTACCCTATGGGCAAATGACTCTGAAGTTCAACAACAATCACAGAAAACAGCTTACTTCCGTGTTGCAGACAAGGGTCAATACAATTAACTCAATTTGTATGACTGAATTTAGTGATTCTTTCAGAGTTATTCCGCATTGCAGAATTCCAAGAACCTTACGCATGCTCCAGCTATCGATATTCATCTCTAATATTTGCTTATTAAAAAGCAGAATGTTGTTGACTTGAATACATAACATACCGGATGAAATTAAAAAGGTGATCAAACAGAAGAAGATGATGATAATAAACGGTACACTGAACAGATGCAAGTCATAGACTCGAGTAAATAAGAAGATTATGCAGACGATAGGTGAGGCTTCTGCACTGAGTCACCACAGAAAAGCAATCAGCTACCCAGCAGACGTGACTGCCGCAGGGGCTTTTTCCCAAGATGTCAAGAACGAGGTCACAAAACATATAAGCATAACTATTTAATGTGACACAAAAATAAGACAAAAATTGCAAAATAACAAATAAAACAGCAGAAGTCATAAAGTTTGGTGCATTTCTAGATGTAAACCCAATAATGATATATATTAATAATAACAAAAACACAAATTATAAGATGAACTGATTATTTTCTTCAGGATAAAGGTGTAAAGAAAAAATCTAATCAGTCTGTGCAAGAGCACTACACATTTTAGATAAATAAATAATGCCAAATTAATGTATATTTAATAGTCATTTTGATATTCTGACAACTATGGCCACTGTTTTAAATAATAATAATAATAATAATAATAATAATAATAATAATAATAATAATAATAATAATATTATTATTATTATTATTATTATTAGTGTTATTATTATTATTATTATTATTGTTATTATTATTATTATTATTATTATTATGTGTTGATCTCAAATTAATACTTAAAATAAATTACTATATTACACGGGATACATATTTTAACACAAAAGATACAATAAATAACCCACATCATTTGACCACTACTAGGCAGTCACATCAAGATATTTTTGCACAGGCTGTATGCTATAAATCCCAAAATGCCCCAGAGATTGCTTGCGCCTGCCATGGGCATGCATTACCAGAATATCATCTCTTCTAAAATCCTGCAGACACAGTGGGATTGTCTGCTCAAAGTCAAAATATCAGTGTGCACAATATAGCAAACAATATCCCCTGACTATGTTGGTCTTAACACAGATAGAAAAAAGTGAATACATGTTGCAAAGAGGTCAGTGAACCAAAAACAACATAATTCACAGATTCTCCAAATGTCCCTATGGTCTTCATCGACTGCCTGCGAACAAATTCTACTTTGAGCCGCCCTCAAGCATTATAGTTTTAGCTGTGGCTTGTAAAAGTTTGGTTCACGTTAGTGACATTTTGAGAAGTAGCCATCTTCTGTGTTTAAAACGAAATGTGACTTGCACTTACAAAGAATGAGAACTTGGCACCATCATTACCATTCATATCTGTGTTTCCAAATGTTGAGGTCTCTAGAGCTAAAATTCAGATAATTTAATGAGTGTTTTGTTTCCAGCATGCACTTTAAAGCAGTAGACCAATCACAAAAGACTGGGCTAACAGCAGTTAAGTGTGGAGTACTGAAAGGGTCTGCCTTGTGCCCTCTGGTATTTTCAATTCACATAACTGGTATTAATTTACGAAAAAATGTCTGTAGAGTTTTCGTGCAGATAATACCAGTTGAAATTTCACAATTCTCTCATTTGAAGATTGCATGACCAGTAATTTTCTTGTTAAATTTAGTAAAGAGCATGTAATAAAATCCATACAATCAAGTTTTTTATAATACAATTTAGATCTACATCAGAGATGCCCAAACTTGGGCCTGCAGGCCAAAGTTGGCCCATAGTAACTTTTGATTTGGCCCACCTTCCCATCTGAGGAGTGATGAGAATAGTTTTGATATTGTACATTCAAGTTTAATGCAACCATTTGTTTTCTGTTTGTTTTACTGTTAAAAGCTAACTGAAATTAAATGTTTCAATTAAATGGTGTAAATTAATCAGAGTTTGTCTAAATGTACATACTGTCACCTGACAATGCAAAGACTTTGGTGAGCAAATTAAGTCAAAGGCAGATTCTGCTTGACTAGTCGGCATTGAACTCCACTGTGTTAAAAATGTAAGTGTTTATGATTTTATTGCAATAAGATATCATTTACAAAGTTATACAGCATTAGTTAATATGATTTAAAGTTATATTTCCTATTAATTTTGAAATATTTTAAAAATAAATGAGGAAATTACCTATGGCAACTTTAATGTAATATATTTACTTTCTGCCCATGGCTCTCAATGATATTTGGTTTTTGGCCTTTCAAACGAAAATGTTTCGTCAAGTTTAGTCAAGCATTCATCCCATAACCCTGTGAACTTTATAGAAATAAATGTGAACAGAAATTTAACTGATTCTGATCAATCACAACAAAGTAGGGTCTTTGAATGGAGGAGTTTAGAGATTGACTCCTTGAACAAATTGATTCAGACACAGTAAGGGGCCATTCATATATAGAAAGGGTGCCCAAACTTTTCTTTTGAAGGGTCAAAGCCAATCTTAATTGAGCCATAGACACCTGTAAATAGTTACCATGGGTAATTTCCTAATTTATTAACAACGTTTAAAAATGACTAGAAAACTAGTCTTTATTTTAACTTTAACTTTATATTAACTGATACAGTATTTTTTTACATGTAGTAATTAACTTATTACAGTAAAATAAAAAAAAATACAATTTATAACAGAATTACACAGTTTTTGCCTTGAGTTGCTCGCCGATGCCTTCTGCATGGTTCTCTATCTAGTCCTCACTCCATCGAGAAACAGTATCTACATCAATGGTCTTAAACTCAATTCCTGGAGGGCAGCAGCTCTGCATGGTTTAGTTCCAACCACCTCCAACTCACACCTGCTTAATAGTCTCTAGTAGTCTTGAACACCTTGATTAGTTGGATCAGCTGTGCTTGATGAGGGTTGCAAAACTGTGCAGAGCTGCGGCCCTCCAGGAATCCAGTTTGAGACCTATGATCTACATTTAAAAAAAATCTGAGTCATTTACAACATTCAATTGAACAATTTAATTTCAGTTCGCTCTAAAGGTGAATAAAAAGCAATAAAACAAACAAAAAAAGGTTTCGTCAATTAGAAATGACAATCTCTGTGGTAAAGGCA